TATATATGTATGGATTTATTTCTGGGCTCTTGATTCTGTTCCATTGGTCTTTGTCTGTTTTCATGTCACTACTATTTTGTTTTGATCTCTGTAGTTTTGTAGTAAAGTTTGAAATCAGGAATTATGATGCCTCCAGCTTTGTTTTTCCTTCTCAGGATTGCTTTGCCTGTTCAGGGTGTTTTGTGGTTTCATGCAAATTTTAGAATTCCATTGGCATTTTGATAGGGATTGCATTGAATCTATAGATGCTTCTTATTTGCTTTCTTCTGATAACTTTGGGCTTTGTTTTTTTCTGGCTCGTTGAGGTATAAGGTTAGGTTCTTTATTTGAAATCTTCTTTTTCTTGATTTATGTGCTCATCACTACAAACTTCCTGCTTAGAACTGTTTTTTCTACATCCCATAGGTCTTGGTGTGTGTGTTTCTATTATTTGTCGCAAGTTATTTTTTTTAAATTTTTTTAAAGTTTTTATTTTTTAATGTTTATTTATTTTTGAGAGAGACAGTGTGTGGCGGGGGCGTGGGGTGGGGTGGCAGAGAGAGAGGGAGACACAGAATCTGAAGCAGGCTCCAGGCTCCGAGCTGTCAGTGCAGAGCCTGACGTGGGGCTCGAACTCATGAACCAGTGAGATCATGACCTGAGCCGAAGTTGGCCTCTTAACCGACTGAGCCACCCAGGCACTCCTGTCTCAAGTTATTTTTAAAATTTCCCTTTTGATTTCTTTGAGCCATTGGTTCAGAAATGTTTTATTTAATTTCCACATATCTGTGAATTTTCCAGCTTTCCTCCTGTTACTACTTTCTAGCTTCATACCATTGTGGTTTGAAAAGATACTTATTATAATTTTTATATTTTTTAATTTGTTGAGACTTGTTTAGTGTCCAATGTGATTTATCCCAGAAGATGTTGTGGGGATCCTTGAGAAGAATGTATATTCTGCTGATATTTAAAGGATTGTTCTGTATATGTCTGTTAGTTCCATTTGGTCTATAATGTTCAAATCTGCTGTTTCCTTGTCAATTTTTTGTCTGGGTGATCTCTCCACTGTTGAGTATGGGATATTAAAGTCTCCAATTATTACTATATTGCCAATTATTTCTCCTTTTAGTTAATCTATCAGTATTTGCTTTATATATTTAGGTGCTTCAATGTTAGGTACATAAATATTTACAGTTATTATATCTTCCAGATGAATTGATCCCTTTACCATTATATAACAACCTTACTTAGGTTTTTTTTGACCATCTTTTTTTCTTAATATTTTGTTTAACACAAGTATAGCTACTCCTGCTTTTTTTTTTTTTTGGTTGCCATTTGCTTGAAATATCTTTTTCACCCCCTCACTCTCACTATCATGCTAAAGTGAGCCTCTGTGTTACGGGCAGCAGATTATTGGATGTTGTCTCTATTATTTCTTTTTAATCCACTCAGCCATTCTGTGTCTTTTGATTGGAGAATTTAATGGTTTATGTTTAAAGTAATTCTTGATAGGTAACAACTTACACTTGCCATTTTGTTGTTGCCTGTTTTGTAGATCCAATGTTCGTGCTTCTTCTCTTGCTGTCTTCCTTGGTGATCTCATGCCTTTTTGTGGTGGTGTGCTTTAACTCCTTTATCATAATCTTTTGTGTACCTACTACAGGTTTTCTTCAGGTTGTTACCCTGAGACATACATGAAATGTCTTATATTTATAACATGCTATTTAAACTACTAAGACCTTTGATAGCATACAGAAATTTATACTTCTGCCTTCCTCATATTTTAGGTTCTTGATGTTATAATTTGCATATTTTTATATTCTGTATCTAGTAATAAATTATTGTAGTTAGGATCATTTTTAGTATGTTTAGCTTTTAAATTAGAGTTGTAATTGAATTATGCAACACCATTACAATATTAGATCTAACTTTGACTATATATTTACTCTTAATATATATATACTATGTATATTACTGTTATTGGTGGCTTTTACACATTCTTATGTTTAAAAAATTTTTTTTTAATATTTATTTACTTTTGAGAGAGACTGAGCATGAGTGGGGGAAGGGCAGAGAGAGAGGGAGACACAGAATCTGAAGCAGGTTCCAGGCTCTGAGCTGTTAGCACAGAGCCTGATGTGGGGCTCAAACTCATGAACTTTGAGATCATCACCTGAGCCGAAGGCCAGTGCTTAGCCAACTGAGCCACCCAGGAGCCCGTCACATTCTTAGGTTTTTATGATGCCAATTTCAAATAACCTATCTTCTCATTCACTAGTTCTTACATCTGCTTGGTCATTTTAGCTGTTCAAGCTTTCTGTGCAGTTCTTCAGTCATTGTATTCTTCAGCTCTGGGATTTCTGCTTTGTTTCCTTGTGGTACTTCTCATTCTGCTCATGTATTCTCTTAATTTTATTTAGTTGTCTGTCCTTCTAGTTAAAACGTAACTTTTTTTTTAATTAAAAAAATTTTTAAATTTATTTTAGAGAGAGAAGAGTGCAAGTGGGGGAGAGGGGCAGAGGGAGAGAATCCCAAGCAGGCTTCAGTGTGGAGCCTGATGCGGGGCTCAATCTCATGACCCTGGGACAATGACCTGAGCCAAAATGAAGAGTTGGACGCTCAACCAACTTAGCCACCCAGGCTCCCCAAGAAATTGATTCTTTTTTTAAAAAAAGTTTGTTTATTTTTGAGAGAGAAAGAAAGCGTTGGGGAGGGGGCAGAGGGAGACAGAAACACAGAATTTGAAGGAGGCTCCGGGCTCTGAGCTGTCAGCACAGAGCCTGACTTGGGGCTCGAACCCACAAGTGGTAAGATCATGACCTGAGCTGAAGTTGGATGCTCAACTGACTGAGCCACCCAGGTGCCCAGAGGTTTATTCTTAATTACTGATTATATAGTTCATGGATCTCCATTTCTTTAGGATCTGTTATTGGAGCTTTGTTAGTTTCCTTTGGTGGGGTCATGTTTACCTGATTCTTCATGAGCCTTAATTCCTTGCATTGGTATCTGCACATATAAGTGGTTTCCTTTTCCAGACTTAACCAGTTTGCTTCAGTAGGAAAAATGTTCACCATTCAGCTAGCTTGAATGGGTTACTGGGTGGGTCAGCTAGTAGCATTCATGGTAGGCAGGGCATGCTGTCAGGGTCTCTAGTTGGGTGAGACCACTGCTCATGCTCTGAGGTTGGGGGTCAGGGCTCTACTAGCTGGGCTCCTTGGTAGGGTGGGTCTGCTTGTTGGGCTCTGTGTTCAAGCAGGGCTGCTGGGCAGGCTTTCAGACTGGGTGTGGCTGTTGGCTGTGTTACATGGTCACTTGGGGTCACTAGCTGGGCTCTGTAGTTACCTCTGATCCGGTGGGGTTACTGGATGTGTCCTCTGGAAAGGCAGTGCCACTGGTTGGGCTCTGATTGGGCAGGACTATGGGTGGGTCTCCACCATTGCTCCTGGTTGGGTGGGGTCTTAGACCATCCTGACCAGATGGTTCTGCTGGCTAGACTCTGTTGAGGTCAGGCCACAGGCAGGGTTTCATGATTGGACCTGATTTCAGGCTGTGCTCTGTGATCAGACTGTGCCCCAGAAGTCTGCAGGCTTGGTTTCGAGAACAGGTAGCCTCTGGTTGTGCTCTGCCGTTGAGCAACATTGCTGGCTGGGTTCTCTGGTGGGGATGGACCTCCAGCTGTATCCTGTAGTTGGTTGGGGCTAGGGACTGTGCTCTGTGGCTGGGTAGGGTCACTGCCTGGGCTCCCTATCTGGACAAGGCCACAAGATGTGTCCAGCATTTGGGCAGAATTGTAGGCTGGGCTTCAAGGCTGCTTAGGGACACTCTTCAGGCTCCCTGCTTATAGGACCAGAAGCTGTGCTGAACAGTTGGGCAGGGTTGCTGGTTTGGCTTCCTGTCCAAGTGGGGCTAGAGGATGGGCTCTGTGGCTGCCCAGATTCTGTGGTCGGGCTTCCGTCAGCAGTTGAGTGGGTCTGCAAATTTGCTTCTTTGCCTTGGTGGGGCAGTAGAATGGGCTCTACAGCTGGTTTCAGCCAGTTTACTAGGAGTCCAAATCAGGCATAATTGCCAACCAAGCGCCCTGGTCACATAGGGTACCAGCTGAGCTCTGCAGATGGGCAGAGTCACTGGCTGGGATCTTTGCTCATGCACTGCTGCAAGCAAGAACACCGTCCAACAAGATCTGCGCTCTGGTTATTGAAAGCCCTGCCCCCGCTTCTGATTCCCAGTGGTCCCTGTTAGCTGAGACCCAGATGGGCTTCCTAGGAAGCATCCCACAATGCTCGGGGATCTGGATGTCCACTTTTTTCCCATTGAAGAAACCACAGCTCTGTGCTGGCCTTGGGAGGGGCAGTTTGGTCAGTGTTACCACTTCTCTTACCCTTCTCTTTGGTCCTTCTTTGTCTTTGGTCCACCAAGGGTGCATCTGCCTTGCCTCTGCATTCTGGGATTCTCAGTGGTGTCTTGCCTGTGGATAGCTGTTGGTCTTGTGAGGGGGACTGAAGTTGGGAATAACTACATTGCCATCTTGATGTTGTCACTGAAATCAGCACTTTGGTACTGAAAGAAATCTAGCTGCGTGGGGCCCAAGCACAACTTCCCTAAGTCACAGCCTGTCTCCCTTCACGCTTTCCATGATCGCAACTCCGTGCCCCTTTCTGGCCACCCATCCCTTATGTGACTGCTCTTCAAGCAGCCCTTTATCCTGCTTTGATCCTGGTAAAGATTATTGGGGGAGGAAAACAGAAACATGGGTTAAAGGCCCAGTTACTCGTCTCATGCCTCCACCTGGCCCCTAATTTTGTGTGCACTTTCATTGGCTGGGTTTTACCTCCACATTTGCTGTTTGCCTATCTCTGTTGTGGGCCAGGAGAACACCTGTGTGCTGGGAAAGCCTTGAGCTTGCCTTGTCACCATCTGTGGTGCACCCTGTGTGGAGGGTGGGCTGTTTAGTTAAGGCAGTTTGGCATAAACCAGTTGTTACTTTACAATTGAAGAATGTATTTTGTTCATTTTAAGTGTAATTAAAGAATCTGGTGCAAAGCACAAGGGATTGATTGAAATACTCAGCCTTTCTGAAGAAAATGAAGTAGATGACACCGAGGTGAGGTATCTGTTTTTTTGTTTTGTTTTTTAAGTCCAAGCTCAGCTGTATACGTTGGGCATTTGAAAAACTATTGAATACACTTTGTGATTCCTGTGCGGTGGTTGTGGTGTATTGTAAAGGGTTTGTTTGCCAAGAAGGTTTACTACGCTGGGTGGGTGGGGGGCAGTGTGGGGTGTGGAGTGGAGCCGTGTAGGAAAGAAGAGGAAGCCCCAGACTGCCCCATGCACCAGGTGTAGTCCTTGGGCAGGTGACCACGCCCTCCACAGCCTTTTCATCTGTGAAGTGGGACTAATTCGTCTTTCAGGGGTGGCATCAGATAAATGTGACAGTGTATGTCCTGTTAAGTGCTTAGGCGGATGTGCAGCTTGGTGAACGGGGTTTTGTTTCTGCATCTCTGCTGTTTCCTTTGAATGTGAAAATATTCAGCTTTTAGCTGTGATTGTATCGCATGGTTTTTCATAAACTAGTTAGTCCATGTTGCTTTTGATTAGCTCTCCTAGTTCTCCTGGGAGCTAGAGCCTTGTGGAACACCCAGGCTTGATTCTCAGTGATTGCCCTCTTGAGCCAAAAGCTTGGTTCTGGGGAGGGACCATTTGTACAGCAGCCGTATTTTCCAAACCAAGATAATTTGACAGAGGGGTTTTGATTTGTGAATGTATTTAAATATGAAGGCTTACAAAGACATAAAAATTAAATCATACTGAGAAACATACAACCTCCCTTTATTAAAGGTTATAAAATGCTATACAGGTGGGGCTGCCTCGGGCACCTGGGTGGCTCAGTTGGTTAAGCATCTGACTTCAGCTCAGGTCATGACCTCACAGTTCATGAGTTTGAGCCCTGCGTTGGGCTCTGTGTTGACAGCTCAGAGCCTGGAGCCTGCTTTAGATTCCGTGTCTCCCTTTCTCTCTCTGCCTCTCTCCTGCTCGCTCTCAAAAAAAAAAAAAAAAAAAAAAAAAAAAAAAAGAGGGGGGCGCTGTCTCATACACATCTTCAGACATGTGGTTGATGCCTTTAAGGACTGTGATTTCACGTCGCTATATTCAGCATGATGAAAAGTTTTTCATCAGCATATTAAACTGGTCTTTTCGGTTCAACCCTTGGTGGCATTACAGAATAAAGTGGGACCCAGGATCTGGGACCATACCCATCTCAAGTGAATCATAGGGATGCGAAATATTTTAAACCAACATCTCTTTTTATTCTGAGAATACCACAGAGGCATTGCCAGAGCCAGAATGGCCTTCTGATGCTTCCCTCTGTCTGCCTCCTCCCCACTCTTACTGTCCCTTTTTCTCCCTCCCTCTTCCTTTCTTCCTCCCTACCAAAAAAGTGTAGCCCAAGGCCGTGTTACATGGGAACTCGATTTTCCTAATTACACTGGCTTTGGGGTACTAGACCAGCGCTGTTCAATAGAAATACAATGCAAGCCACATATGGAATTTAAAATTTTCGAGTAGCCATATTAAAAAAGTTAAAGGAAACAAATGAAATTAATTTTAATATTTATATTTTTATTTAACCGAATGTATAAAAATACCATTTAAACATGTAATTAGTATCAAAATTATTGGGATTATTTTACAGTCTTTTTTTGTACTAAATCTTCAAAGTCTGTTGTGTGTATTATTTCACACTCGTAGCACATCTCAAATCAGACCAGCCACATTTCAAGTGCTCAATAGCCAAATGTGGCTAGTGGCTACCATACTGGACAGCGCATTTCTAGACCCTGATAAAAGCCATGGGGTGTGACTACATCGTCAATAGAATACATACACATATACACACAACATTTTGTATGCAAATTAAGGAGTTCACATTTCTAAGAAGTCCCCTCAAGATCTGGCCATCAACCCAGTCAGTGGACCTTGGATTAAAAAATCCTTACAGCTTTTCAGTCTGTGAAGAAACCTGGCACATCTCTCTCACATCCACTTCTTCCCCTTCCCTCACCGTCATAGTGCTTCTCCCAGCCATGTGTCCTGATGTTGTAAGAGTACATCAAACCAGATTTTTATGTTTGTATGTTTCTGATTTGTAGATGAACGGGAGTAAAAAGAAAGGAGATGGGGATATACGGAAGGATCTTATGAAAACTGCAGGTACCGCCAAGGTCAGAGAGGCCCTTGGAGATTACATGAAGGCACTTAAGATGGGTAGAAGGCCACCCTTGTGAACCAGTGTGTCCCTTTTCCAGTTACCCAAGTTCTGCTCTGTACTTGGATTTCCAGGTTAGGGTTATGTCTGAGGCTTCCGAAAAAACTCTTTATGTTGCAGGATAAAAATTGTAGTCTGGAGGTTGAGAGCTAGTTACAAGTAGCGCATGAGTAGTGACTATTGGCATTGTATACATTGTGAACTGTTTTGCCTACAGAATTGCTAAGACTTTTCTGGAATAATTTATTCAGTTTGTATAATTACTTATCTTCCCTGCTACACTGTAAGCTCTAAGGTGGCATGGAAGGTGTCTTATTGACTGCTGTATCTCCAGCTTCTAGCACAATGCCTGACACATAGTAGGTGCTTATTAATAAATCTTTGTTGAATATCGAATGGATGAAAGGTATTTCAGGTATAGTTGAGATAATTCCTGAGGAACTCCTAGATAATTCCTGCACTGCGTGGAAGTGAGGTTATTGTCTTCTTCCCTAAAATTGACATTTAAAAGGAAATGGAGAATACCTTGCAGGTATGAGCTGTGGTGGCCAATACGAAGGGAGGGAAGAGGAAGTGCTTAATGAGAATATTGAAAGCTCTAAATGATGGAGAGCTGCAAAGGCTAGTGAGGAAGGCCAGTTCATCCATCTTTGTATCCCGTGCCATTGTTTTGGGAAATGATGAAATGACACTTTCATCCTTGAGGGAAGGGAATGTATAAATAGGCTTTCTTGTGGGATAAATACTGCATTTAGTTCAAGACAATGCTCCAAAGGCAGGGTTTTTTGGTAGGCAGATTACAAAACCTGGTGATGTTGTGGTTCACCCACCACAGTGGAAAACACTGCTTCAGACTTTTGGTTTAGGAGGTTTAGGATCCCATTCTTGGAATCTGGTGGTGGGAATTGACAGCCTTTGGCTGTTGTCCCTCATCTGCTTATCTTTGTGCCCTCTGGACCATATGTACTTGTCCAAGTAGGATTTGGGGTGTTAAGCCATGGCCTGGGAGTAGAACAGAGCCGAGGAGCTAGCTCATAGCCACAATGAGCTGTTTCACAGTAACTGGGATTGGTGGTGCTAAAAAGGCTTTTCATGCTCTTTCCATGCGTCTGGAAGGTATAGTGTGGAATATGAGGACATTTTGGTAAGACTGAAAGATTGAATTTTTAAATCTAAGTAGCTTTATCTCCTGGCATGCTATTTAGTTATCCTTTGGAACATCTACTCTTCTTGAGATTCAGGCTTCATCTCCAACGGGTTTGGGTGTGAGGATCCCCACGGTGACACTGCACATGACCGAACTGTTTGACCCAACTGTAGAGCAGCTGTACAGCATCTTCACTGTGAAAGATGTAAGTAACTTCCCAAGCTAGGGCCCCCAGTGCTGATGTGGGGAGAAAATGTGCCACTAAGAACTGGAGCTGGTTTTTGGTTTCCCAGATAGCCATGTTTTTATGATTGAAGAGACCTAGCATGGTGGTGATAGAGGTCTTTAGGATAACTTCTAAAAAAATTTAAGGGGCTAAAAGATGGGCATTTTTAGGGAAATATGTCTGCACTTAGGGGATATAATACTGGGTTTTCTCCTTCAGAAAGGGAGAGAAAGCTGTAAGTAAACACTATTCAGGATTAGGAAAAAAACAAAAAAAACAAAAACCCCAAACCACAGTGATGATTTTGTTAATACTTTGCCTTTAGGTTCAAAAGGTGATAGGGCGTGATGGGATGACATGTCTCTTGTATGTTTTACTTGGTTAGCTGGTGCCGAAATTTTCTAAATCTCTTGCTATATTAGATGCTGAAAAAAGAGGGACATTCCAAATGTTTGATGGGAACATCACTGGCGAGTATGTAGAATTGGTAAGTAATCTTTAGGGTTAAAGAAAAGCAAGCTGGGACTGACCCTTCTGTTACATTGCTTTTTAAAAATCTGTGCTGTTTTTAATTTGCTTTTTTATCTGAGTTCACAGAAACTTGAGAAATTTATAAAATTGGTTATGGTAAATAGTTACAAATACTAAGTAGTGATAAAGATGAAGCCTTAGTTGCATAGTAATTGTACTGGTTTTAGAAGAAAGAAGTATAGTTAATTCCCCTCAACTCTTGGTCTAGAAGTTTCACATTTCTGCCACCTAAATCACTAGGGTCTGTGTTGCCCAGTGTCACCCTTGACATCAGCCCAGTTTTGGTTACCACTGTCACTATACTTCTGTCCTTGATGTTACTGCTGTTAAGGACATTGTGGCACCTAGAACAACGGATTCTCAGTGATGCTGGCATATAACCTGGAAGATGGGACTGTATGTTGTTTGTTGATTACCTTTAGTACCTCAGGAGTTTTAATGAAAGGATTTTCTGTGTTGCACTGGAAGTTTTAAAAGATGTCTTAAGGGAATTTCCCCTGTGTTTTTAGTTGACAAATAAAAAGATGGTCATGAAATGGAGACATAGGAACTGGCCAGAAGGTATGTTAGTAGTATCCTTTGTTATAAGAATTGGGAAACACTCAAGATTTCTCCCCCCACCCCCACTGTAATAAGCCAGTTGTAGTACTGTATGGATAGTTTTCATAATGCAGTAATAAGCTCCTTCTTTTTCTTCTAGAACACCATGCAACAGTTGCACTGAGTTTTGTGCCTACTCCAGGGCAAATGGAATTGCAGTTGGACTATAAAGGAGTTCCTGTTTGTAAAGAAGAGGGCATGAAATCCTGTTGGCAGAAGCAGCATTTTGAAGAAATAAAATGTTTACTGAAGCTGACTACCCTAAATGGTTGAATTAGAAGATTTTGTAAGTCTACCTCTTCTCAATCCTTTTAAAAAAGAAAACACCCTTAATTTATATTGGATGGAATCCATGACCTCTTACAGAATTCAAAACATTGTTTGAATCTTTACTACGATTGGACTCTCATTGGGTTAAAAGTAGCAAGCAATGTGGAAATTAGGTATTAACCTTACCTCCCATAGATGCTCCTCTGGGAACAGATTGAGCCTCTGAGTACAGATAGTTGAAGTTTCCCACTAAAGCTTGTCCTGGCAAGCCACTCTGAGCTGTAGTTTTAGTTCAGGAAGACAAAAAAATAAATGGCACGTCGATACTTTTCCTTTATTTCACTTCAGGGTTTTAAGGTCTGTAGCTCTTTAGGTAGCATAGCAGCCATGTGTTCAGAAGCATGTTGGAGTGAGGTGCCTTGGGCCTTGTCATCAGGCTACTCCCTGCAGTGGCTATGCACTCCAGGCGGAGGACCGACAGGCTGCGGGGCAGCTTACGTTCTGGATCGCCGCCAGCACTAAGGAACTAGAGTATAATGGAGAAATGCTTCCCTCCCGCTCAGTGTCCTCATTACTTTCATCTGAGAAGACTAAAGCAATGTTAAATGTAAACAAATGAAAAGTCATCACAATCAGTTTAATTAAGTGCACAGAATAGCAATCAATCAGTCATGTCAATAAAAATAAAACAATTATTTTTACATCAAGTGTGCTTTATTTCCTCCACAGGTATTCTGTTAAATAAAGCACCATTTATATACTGCCAGGCCACAGCTAAAGAGGATTCTTTACAGAATCAAATTTCTTGTGGTTGTTCCGTATACAAGTAAACTTAATTTTGATAATAAGAACCACAGCGATCGGAGGCGACCTGCCTCTATTATAAGGTACAAAACTGGCACAGAGGACACCATATTATACACAGTAAAAATGCTGTAAGTTTAAATTACATTGTACAGGGCCAGGGAACCCTGTTCCTCCCAGACAGCCATATTAAATGAAAGCCACTACAGTGAACTCTTAATTACATAAAACATATCCGTTATCTGATTGCCCTTTAGAAAGTATACTGAAGATGCAAATTTTTTCATCTGGAGTTCTGCCTGACCAAGAATTAAGCCTATAAATCTATCTTGCCATTCAAGCAGAGAGCACTGGACAAACTGAAGCACAAAAACAGAAATAAGCAAAACTTATACAAACAGCTTTGGGGGTGGGGGATGGAGAGAAGGGACCTTAAAAGTAGTAGACATGCTACATCTAATGTCAAGAAGCAGCTTGGTTTCCTTTGCCAGATATCCTTGTGATCACATGGATTGTAGATTCAATGGTCCTACACAGAGTATCTAAAATGTCGTGTTGCTGCATGTGACTAAAGAGTCCTCTGGAATGGCCACAACTGAGTGATAGAGCAGCCTCAGGGTCCTGGGAGGGCAAAGCTTGACCATCACAGCTTCTCAAGTCAGCTAAGTCAGAGAGAACTGCAGAGATAGAAGTAGAAGGGAACTCAGACTCTTCCTCAGCTAGGTTAGAATCCTTGGAACAGTGGAGGTCCTTGAACTCTTTACAGTCTTCAAATCTACCTTCGTTGGACTGTTCTTCTGCATGCTGTGACCTGATACTTGACATGTCTTCTGAAAACGAAGATGGAACTTCCATTCGATATTCTTTAACAGAACTATTTTCAGGGGAAGGAAGATCTTGCTCGGTTCCTGGATCAATAATTGAAGAGTCTCTTGTCTCATTGTCTGAAGTGCTAGTTGGGGTTAGGACCTCCCTAGTTTCTGTTTTCATGTCGCTGATACAGCTGTCTACAGTGTGCTCCTCATCACTGCTAACACGCCTTCTTTTAACAGGAGTTGCCCCTTCATCATCTGTAAAAATGAACATCATTCTCTGAAAGGAGTCATTGAGATCACACCGGGGCGGGGGGGTGTTTGCGGGAAATTTTGTTCTTAGCATTTATACCTAGGAGACCCAGCTGAACAGACAGCTCTTACAAAGTCAATTACACTGAGTGTATTCTTCCCCCTTTCCCACCCTGAAGGTATAATTAATATTAGTCCACAAAGCTAACCTTTAGTTTTTCTTTCTTTGGCTTCTTGCTCTTGGAGTGAGTTTCTCTGCTGCAGACAAGTCCTGCATTTGCTTAAAAGCTCTTGCAGAGTTGGAATTAGAGCTGGGTTTAATTGCTTGGGAGTGTGGACTGACAGGAGCAAAGCAAGTGCACGCAGATCCTGTAAACCCAGAAAGGAACATGTCAAATTCTAAAGCTAACATTTTGACAGCTGTTTACAGTTTAACACACATTTACTTTTCCAGGAATCCATTCTGGTTTCTTTTGCATTTTTAGAGAATGCTAAAACTAGAAAGCCAGCATTAGGATATTATCCGTGAGAAATTAAGGCCTCGATCTAGAAATCAGTTTCTCAAACAGGCTGATTTCTGGTGAATGTCACAAATAGTAAGGTCTTAACTCACCTAGCTCTGCAACCTGTTCTGGCATCTAAGCAACATTTTGTTACTTGGAAAACTGCTGCTGGACATGTGCTAGCATTCCATTATAGTATGACCTGGGTATCATGGAAATCTATATAAGGCACCTAATTCCCTAGGTTTAATTGCCTTTATAATCAATGGATCATTAATCTGATTGTTTCAGTTATTTATGAGCCACAGGCAATAACAGAAACATCACAAGTAATGTTTTCAAAAAATGTAATAAACAAGTAGAGATAAAAGGAATGTCTCCTCTTAATGGTTTCACTGCCCATAGTGAACACATGTTTTTAGAAATTTGGTAGTTTTTCCAGAGTTTGAAGAAGTTATGATAGTAAAATAGTACTAAAGCCAAAGGTGATTTAAGGAAAGTTCTTAAGTACAACATCCCTCCCCCAGTTCTTACCCCATTTAAAGAAGCACTTGCTTTGGAAATTTCAACACGGTTGGTGAAATCAGACTGCATATTCTGATACTGATTTATCAAGTTTGTAATTAGGGTGCTGATCAGATTGGCACAGTTTGCTTCAGAAAACACTTGACCTTGAACCTGAGAAAAAGAGATTAAAAACAAATCTCCAAAAGACCAACACCATGAAAACACAACCACTAACTAGGTAGAAGTAACACAATGAGTTTTCAAAGGTAGGACATACCTTTAGAAGAAAATGTGTCATGAATGTGTACACAATGTTGTTGTTTAGAAAAGTTCTTTCATCCATCAGGATACACTTTATATATTCTGCAAAAACCGGATCTTCACACAAAAGCTTGATGCAATTTTTTGACATAGCAGACTACAGTAGGGGAGAAGAAGTACTGATGGTTGAGCACTGAAATAACTGCAAGGCTTACACACTGCTTATGATGAACATCCAAAGTCATTTAAGTCCTTTCAGAGACCACTTCTAACTCCAGTTATAGTAACCGTACTCCCGATAAAACAAGCCTTAGTCACTTGGACTCTACATGTAAGTATAAGAGGAAGAGAGACTTGTAACAAGTCTGAAGGGCAAAAGGAACAAATAGGTTTCCAAAGAAATGCAACTTTATTATCTAGCATTAAATGAGGGAATAAGGACTGGACAAATTAAGACCAGCAAATAGGATGAGAATGTTTGCAGAGGACCAATTAATGGATAATAGGTAACCAAACTATATATAGAAAAAAGACAAATTTTAAGAATTAAACTTATTCCATAAAAGGAATTAAAATGTTAAGCAATAGTAATTTGTTTGGAAATATCCTCCCCACCCCCCATGAATACTGCAAAGTAAACAGCAAACCTCCTTTAATTACCTCACAAGAATTGGTGGTTCCCAATATACAGAAGAAATTTTACTAAAATTGCATTCCCCTGTTTTTAAATGGTCATGGCTCTTCAACACAAGTAGTATATCTTTAAGTAAATCTATTCTCTAGATTATAGGTATTTTAATAAAAGATCATTTATATGGGAGATAAAATGGAGTATTTAATAAAACAGGACAAAGTTTAGATAATATGTACAGGTATATGCTTATTTTATTCGAGGAAGCAACTTGGTAAGTCACTCAAGTTCACCCCAAAAAATCAGAAGTCGAATAGGACCAGGACCCAGCTCTTCAGATGCTTGGTGTCAGGAAAATCTGCCTAATTCTACCAGCCAGAACCTCTGCCTGCTGCCTGTGTTTCTTGATGGCTGCTTCTACCACGCTGGCAGACTGGAAGCCTTGGACAGTTTGGCTTTGTTTTAAAGGAAGTTTTTGGAGATGGTGGATTCTTTGGAAAACAAGCCAATTAAGGGAGCAGTAAAGTGCTGGAGTAGATAAAACAATAGAGAAGCAATAGCCAGTGGCAGAGTACAGAAACCAAAAAAAGTGACTACCCAAATCAAGAATGAAAAGAATAGCAGCAGTGGCAGAGGGAAAAAGCAGAGATCTCCCATTTACTGAATTAACCACTCAGCTAAAAACAAAAACAAAAAAACAAAACAAAGAAAAAAACCCAGGAAGTCATTTTCTCAAAGTCTCCTATGTACTACGCCATGTGATCAATGTAAATTAGCCTTTTAAAGATTCCTACTACAGAGAATAAAATGACATTTCTTGAAGGGATAGAGAGGATTCCATTTCTACACTTGAGGAGCTCAGTTTGTGAGGAGATAAACAACTATTACAGCACCGTGTGACACACATCCACCGGGAGAATAAACAGAGCATTACAGCCCAGGCAGGAGGCTGTACCAGAGGCATAAAGTGTTTCAGATACTGTAATGTGGGTAAAGTTTAGGCTAAAGTAAACAAACTCATCTCTTCCTCTGAGGATGGGCAGCTGCAACCAGTCAGGAAACCAAGTTTTCTCAGGATCTAAATGCGCCTGGTCCAAGGAATGAATCAAATCTTAGGACCAATCTGGTTTCTCCCCACCTCTCTGCCATTCTCCCCCAGAATGAAACAAGCATTATTTAGGTGCCCGCTTTAAAGAGTTGGCTCTTAAGATACTTAAAGTAGGTAGGATATAG